CCAGTATTGATTACAGACCCAGATGCAGGAACTTTTAGCAGTTGGGTGTATAAACTAAGGTCAAAAGGCTTATACTAGAAATATTTTGACAAAGAAACAATATTAATATAATTTCTTTCTCAAATATGAAAAAAAACCAATTATTTTTATTGGGGTTGGGTGGGCAAAGTGGGGGTGGGGTTGTTAAGCTACTTCCTGGAGACAGTTATGAGCGAACTGCGGACCGTGGCTTTAGATAATGAGGACAGTCATTAGAAAAGGAGAGGGGTTGACACATTTTGTCTAGTCAGATTTTATACATGTATGTTCAGGTCTTCAGATACATGTATATCTATTTCTAGTTTGACAAGCAAATCCAAAGAATTGTGATCCCCCGCTTTTGGTTTTTTTGTGGGTGAGATATCAAATTTGAACGCCTTATTATCACCAAAGTTGAATTTAAGAAAGAAATAAGGTCAATTGTGAAGGTCAAGGAGTCAGAAATCATAGCATGCTTGGAAATATCTTGTCATAGGTAATGCATATGTCAAATATGAAAGCCCTATATCTCAATCAAAAATTAAAAGGAACAAAAAGCGTTTGTGAAACACTGATGACCCCGTATGGAAACAAAGCGAAGATTAAGCTTTTTTTAAAAATGTAAATTCAATATATTCAGAAGTATCTGTGGAGACTGTAGGTCTACTGGTTTGTACTTATAATAAAGGAAGAAAAAAAGTAGCAGTTGGGACATAAAACTTTACAAAGCAATGAATAGAGTAATGATCCTTGATTGAGTCTCTTTTGTGGCAAGATTGCAATAAGACTACAAATGTTGGAGTAGCTTTTTAAAAAAAATTACAGAATTTTCAATTTTAGTTGCCAAGGCAACCACAGGGTTTCATCGAAATCAAAAACACAAAACCGATAATCATGTATCTCAGTGTAGTCTACTTTCATGCCAAATTATATTATAATCGGACTTAACTGTATTTGGGGTAGCATTTTGAAAGTATTTCACAGAAATTTCTATTTTTAAAAACCAAGGCAACACTGTTCATTCAAATCAAAAACCGGTATACAGAATTATGTATCTTAGTGTAGATTACTTGTGTGCCAAGATATATTGAAATCAAACCAAAACCGTAGGAGAAGTAGCATTTTGAGAGTATTTCCATAAAATTTCTATTTTAGTAACCACGGCAACACCGTTCATCGAAATCAAAATTGGATACACAGAATTATATGTATCTTATTGTAGTCTACTTGTGTGCCAAGTTATATTGAAATCAGGCTAAAACTGTAGGAGACGTACATGTAGCAATTCGAAAAAAATATGAGCTTTTTTGAAGTATGAATGCCTTAGCCCTTACCATTCAAAAGTTATGTCCAAGAATCAAGTTTTGTAAAGTAGGTCAAACATCAAGATCATAGGGTCAAAGTTGTTGATATCCAATGAAAGGCCTTGTCACATGGAATAAATATGTAAAGTATGAAAGCCCTAACCCTTCAAAAGTTATGGTCATGTTTTTTTTAAAGTAGGTCACACTCGAATGTCAAGGTTAGAACTTCAAAAATCTTGTTATTCAATGAAAAGTCACAAAGAATAAATAAATTATGTGAAGAATGAAAGCCCTAGCCCTTACCGTTCAAAATGTATGGCCAATGTAAAAGTTTTTAAAAAGTAGGTAAAACTCCAAGATTAAAGTCAAAGGATCTAAGTGCTTGATATCCCATGAAAGGTCTTGTTGCAAGGAATTTTAAAACATGTGAAGTATGAAAGCCCTAGCCCTAACCCTTCAAAAGTTATGGCCAAGGTAAGAGTTTTTAAAAAGTGTGCCAAACTCCAAGGTCAAGGTAAGAATGTCAAATTTCTTGTTTTCCAATGAAAGGACTACTCACAAGGATTGCATATGTGAAGTATTAAAGACATTCCTTACCGTTCAAAAGTTATGGCCAAGGTTAAAGTTTTTTCGTAAGTACGGAAATCTCCAAGGTGAAGGTCAAAACGTCAAAGTTGCTGATATTGAATGAAAGGCCTTACCACAAAAAATACACATGTGAAATATAAAAGTACTAGTATCCACCGTAGAAAAGTTATGACCAAAGTAAAAATTAAAATTTTTGTTTAATAATGGGTCAAACTCAGATCCGAGGTTAAAAGGTCAATTTTGGTGATACCCAAAGAAAGGTCTTGTCACAGGAATACACATGTAAAATATGAAAGTCAAAGTTTAAAGTTTTTGTGACGGACGAGCAGACAGACAGACAGACAGACCGACTGACAGACAGAAAAATGAGATTTAATGCCCCTCGCTTTTGCGAAGCGGGGGAGAATAAGCTAATTATTGACCTGCATATTTTCAACTCTGTTAGTTAATGTTTTGAGGTCGTATAACTTCCTGCCAATTTAACAGGTCAAGACCACTACCTTATATGGAAGGCAACTTTCAACACCTGACGATACCTTCGTCACACGCGTTCGCCAATCAAGTGAATGAGTCCGAAAGCATGACACTCTACTGCGTGTTTACGATTCAATGGCGACACGTGGTTTTCGTCGATTTCTGCATAATATTCACTTCGTTGCCGGAAAAACCGTAGAGCTTCTTTGTCATTTTTTAAGTCCGAATTTGGAAGATTACATTCGCAAGACATCGCTCCATGCTCACATTTAATATTTGAGTTGTTTAATATCATTAATAGTTGCTTTGAAAGTTCGAATAATGTGCAAACGCTTTGATGTTTTCATTTACATTTATTAAAAAACTTTTTTCATAATATTTAGGGGTTTTATAATAATAGCGCACCTTGTACTGCTGTTTAAAACTATGTAGACATATATCACGTGAAAAAAACTCAATGCTTTATCGACACGATAGCAACTACATGAACGTCTCTTCGAACAATGGTTTAGATCGATGTATTTTAAGTTGATAAAGTTCATAATGCAAATTTTGTAAATGTGAGCATAGAACTAAAAGAATATACATCATTTTATATATTTCTTCCATAAATCTCAAAAAAGAATTGAAAATAAGTTTCCAAGGGACAATTCAAGTTGGCCTTCATTTTCAACACAGCTGAGTACTTGTAGTAGCCCACAATGCATTGCGACTCATTTATCAGTGGGTAAAGTCAACAGATAGTTAATTTACATGCAAATTTATTCTGACGTCTGAAAATCTAGTGGTCTCGACCTGTTTAAAACGGATCTTCATTTTCTAAGGGGAGTATCCAATGTCATTTTTCAGTTTCTTTACTTCATACATTTCCGGTAGTAAAGAGAACAGATCCCACCACCGACTCCCCCTTTGGTCCGTGGATTGACTAAAGCTGAAACTGCCTGTACATATAGCCATCTTAGTGTGATCATGGCTGCAAACACTAGAATGTCTCTAAATTTTTGAAATAATATGTGGATACGTATTATGTAAATGTTAATGTTATATTACTAGTCATTATATCTTTATTTTTGTTAATAAAGATTAACATTGAATAAACAATGTATCTGTCTCCCTTTTAACAAAAAGTACAGGGATTTGAATATTGAAATGGAACTGTCCATGATCCGTTCCTCTGTCCTTCTGTGATATTTTAGTATCTTGATGATATGTATAAGAGTTCTAAGAGTCGTATGATAAAATTTGATATTGTAATATGATCGTACACGTGTCTCAGAAAATCTAATTAATTTGAGATCAAAGTTAAGGGTATGAAATTTAGGCATCGTAGAATTAACTTGTCTTTTAGATTTCTTATGAAAGATATATCCAGGATTCCTCTAAATCATAGAAAGACCCCGAACAGATGGACGATCAAAGTCACAAGTTCTTATGTAGAATAAAAGCTAATTATAACATATCGACTCTTCCTCCTCAAACTTCAGTGGTTAAGGTATAACAGAACTGAAGGGTAATTTAGGCTGGAGTCCAAAATGAGATTGATCTGATTATAATACCGGTATTTTTGAAACTGTTGATCAAATTAAAAAGGGGTAATATGCTTTAAAATGTATTAAAGTATTTTCTAAATCAGGCATTAAAGAGACTTTTTATCTACATGGCAGGGTACATGAAAATGTTCATTCTTTGTGGTAATTTACGTATATATCTTGGTTTGGTTTTATTTCACAAAGAACGTGTGTTCAACATTTACTATTAACATTATTACATTGTCTTTGCAGGCGTCTGTTTTTCTCTGCCCTAACGAACACTGCCAAATCCTATTCAATAGATCAAATTAATTTCTTTCAAAACTACCTGTAGCATTAACGTATCTTGCTACAATAAAGTTGTTCACATCACTGAAAAAAATCAATTTCTAAGTTTATGTAAGCAATATGAATAAAATAAGCTAATAGCGATTTTCTCCAGATTTCTCTCCCCCCCCCCCACCCCAACCCCAACCCGAAAATAATTTCAAGAGTATTTAAAGAGAAATTATAAAAAAAAGTACATATATAAAGGAAATCAAAGCTTATTTGTTATTTAAAATATTTGATTTCAGCATAATTTAATTACAATCAATTGAATCCTAAATTAAACACGTATATCAGTCTATGGATCAGTTTGTTTCGATCCACCGATCGAGAGAGAGAGAGAGAGAGAGAGAAATTAAAAGACGAATTGCCCTATTTTGTTTCAACATAGTGTAATAAAATAGTGTAATAACGGCTAACATGTTCATTTATTTATTCAAATACTATTGACAGAAAACATACGAAATAAAATTCTAATGAAGTTTACTTTTGTTGTCAAGGAAGTTTTTAGACCCCCCCCCTGAAAATATTTGCTTGCACCCTTTGATTTATAACTCTCTGTAGACTATATGTATGCACATATCTCATTTCAATGAGTTGATCATTGTATGTTCAATTTCTAGATCGGTTCTCCACATTGACTGTTGATGAGGTGTCCGTGTTATTCTGTTTTCTGTGTTCTGACTCCGGTCCTCCTGACTTCACTGACACAGAGTGGCTGGTTCTGCTTAATAGGATACGACAGTGGGTGTACGAGATACGACAGGAAGTGGGCGAGGATCCTGTAACACGTGAGGAAGCACAGCAGACTCTGGACAGACTGAAGTCACGTGATTACCTTTGGGAAGATCAGGACAAGATGACAGAGGACACAAAGGATGAGACAATGTATTGGATAGCATTAGAAAAAAGTTGTGTACCATTCTATTACAGTAGTTATGACACAGTCAGTGTGTACCTGAGATCACGGGGATACAACAGAAAACCTGGAGAGAAGTGTGTCATTAGTGATGACAGTGACTGTAATGCCTTACTGATACTCCGTCTACAGATGAACATACTGACTCACGTCACTATGGAGGACACGAGTATAGATGATGAGATACACTGGATATGTAAGTCAGTGTAAAGAAATGTAATTTTTCTCAAAATACAGAAAATGTTTCAATTGATTGATTGAATTCTAAAGATTGGAATATTTATAAACGTTACTTTAAACATTCCATGATATGATTCCTAAGATGTTGACCATTTTATGAAGCTTGTACATTATGGCTGATGCTTTCATTCCATCTTCAGAAGCTTTACAATTTTTTTTTCATTCTGACAACTGAGACTCTTTATTGGATTATCTATATACATAATATACTTTTGTATAACTTTAATTCCATAGAAATATTTTGGTGGAAATTATTATTCTAACAGTGTGACAATACTCAATCATCTTCTTCTACAGTGAATGTTTCAAACCAAATACTAATGTGGAGTGAAGATAAAAGAAAAGAGTTCCTATCGGATCTAAGAAGAGAAGGGGAGACTGTACATTGCAGAGGAAGGTCACAGGACACTGTAGATCACTTGACATGGGTCTGGAAATACACGTTAGACACGAGACCTGACATCGTGAGATCCTGTATAGGTCTACATCCACACTGGGATATTTACATCATCGACAACAAAGCTTACAGAAAACCAAGTAAGGGAATTTATTTGAAATGTTTAATTCAGGTTTATAACGGTTTTTAACGTTGGAATTGTACAGTAAAATTAAACAATATGCACAAGAAAAAGAGAGAGAGGGGGAAATGTTTTTCCGTAAATAAAAAAAAGTGTACAAACATGAAACTTAGCCGTATTCTGCACAATGCTGAAAATGTTTTCCTAACGGTAATAAGTGTGTGTATTTATTATAGTTCAATATCTACAAAAAAGCACATACTGCATGTACAGAAAACCTTGCACACTATTATATAGTAATTTTACACAGTGTTAAGTCTACATCATGTTCTGATCATGCAATCTCGGTGATAATGAAGTTGTTTCCAAAAATGAACAATTCTGAAATCTGGTTATCCCCGATCTCCATCCCCACAATACATGCATACATCATCGTTAGTAAATTTTATAAATAGAGAATCGATCCCCAGAAGTTGACCCCCCATCCCCGGGTTGGTTTTTTCAACAGAATGACAGGTTAATGTTTATCATTCTAATGGAATTATTTTTATATGTACATTATCCCATATATATCTATCATTCATTGGGACGGGTTGTTTTATGTCGGGATCCTAAAAGGGGGCGGGGGTATGGATAGGCGACTTTTTTGTAAACCGAGATGTTATTATACAAATATGGACTCAAAGTAGGTCAATATGCATTTATAATGACCCAGGATGACAGATATTGACCGAAGATACATGTAGTATATCGACCGAGGGCGCTAGCCTGAGGTCGATATACTTCATGTATCTTCGGTCAATATCTGTCATTCTGGGTCATTATAAATGCATATTGACCGTGCATTGAGTCCATATTTATTATATTATATAAATAATAATTTCCCAAATTTATTAGTGCAATGTATATCATCCTATTATTTACAGAGATAGTATTAACCATGAATAAGTTGAATAAAATATGTTCAAACCAAACCAATAAGTTGAATGTAAATGTTTCAGAATTCATTGATTATTACTCAGAGGAAATTGTTTTGGCAATATCATAATAATGACGCAAGATATCTATCTCCGAATAATACAGAGTACCCCCTCCCCCAGTTTGAGAATCGCTCTCGTTTACACTTGCAGTCGAAATGCACTGACAAAATATAAATACCTAATGTCTTCTAAGAATAGATACAAACTTACATGGTATGCTTGTCTATATTTTCTTTAGTCTCCGTAATCGCGTAAACAGCGTCAATACTCTGCTGGCTGAGTGGAAAGGTCGAACTCAACCATGAAATGGTATGTGCTAATTATTCCCGAAAAATATTCACAAATATCCTAGTAATTGTTTTGTATTATCAGTCCCAGAGTTCTTCACTATATGTTTTAAATTTTCCTCGCCTACAACTTGCGAACTTCCATGTTTGTCTAAAGCGAAAGTGAAAACGAGGCAGCTCGTGCGAGTCATTATTCGCTTTCAGCGGTCGTTATTAAAAAATAAGTACTTCGTATTGACCAATCAGATTACCGGATTTCACAAAGTTATATACTGTAAAAGCAGAAATATTCGTGGGGGATTAAATTTCGTTTATTTCGTTGTTAACAATTATCAATGAAATTAAATCCCACACGAAATTTTATATGACTATATATTGAATAGGCTTACTCTCAAAACAACGAAATTAAATGCCAACGAAACTATTTTTGATGACAAATAAACGAAATTTTGTCCCCACGAAAATTTGTGCTTCTACAGTAATATTATGAAATATATACCCTGTTACAGAAATAAACATACTTGTATTTAGTATGTATTTATAAATTTTGGAAATAATTACGCAAGTGAGTTAAGGCTAAATATGGATATTTCTATGCAAATGAGCTAATAAAAATTCATAAATTGTATATTTTGTGAACAGGGAAAGTTCAAATAAATATTCTTATACATACTTAAATCGACAGTTTATTAATGCAAGTGCACATTATGACGACATATTATGACGTCATTGTTCTCTCCCATTCAAGGTAATGAATCACATCAACAAAATCACGTCAGCGCAAGAGCATATCCTATCTAATTTAAAATAAACAATGTGTAGTATTAGGGAGAATGTTCTTAAAATTAATAAAAATTGCTGCACAAATCCTGTGCACTTTCTCAATCGATAAATTTTTTTAGGAAACTTACACCGGACTGTGAATTTTTACCCTGTTTAAACTTAAAACTGCACGAATAGTAACTAAACAATTTTTACCCTGTTTAAACTTAAAACTGCACGAATAGTAACTAAACAATTGCAGTTCCGAAATTTATGCAGCAATATCTTAAATCCTTTGAATATTCTGCGTCTTTTTATACCTTGTTTCTATTAAACAAAGTAAGGTATGCCCTTGCACCGAACTGATTTTGTTAATGTTTCTTATAAAGTTGTGTAGTAGAGGTCGATGACGTCATAATGTGTACTGGCTATCGCATGTCGAGGGTACCAAAAATGTATTAGAAAACAAGTCTTTACATTTTTTGTGCGGTAGGTAGAGCAATTATGGAATTTAATTAGATATTTTGCATATAAACCTCTATATGTAGCCTTAACTCACTTGCGTTATTTTAATTTCACAACCAAACAGTAAAAAAGGCTGCAACGTAAAATAGCGACATTCAAGAATTCAAACATATTTTAGAATATGAAGCTTTGTTTTCACAAAACACATTTCAGAAACATTTTCCTTGATCAGAGAAAAATGGGTTGGGTCTCCTGTAATCGTGTAAATATTTCTAATTCGTAAAAATGTAAAAAAAAAAAAAAAATTTAAATTTTCCCAGAAATGCAAAATCTTTACAAGAACAAAACATAATACAATAATAAAACCTGTAGGTCACTGTAAAGTTACATTTCCTTTTTCAGCAGTTTATGTAACATTCGATAAACCTCAGATTATTCTTTCATTGTTATCAAACAATTAAACACTTAAGATGAGGTACATTGTACATGTAGTACGGAATCGACTGATGCATACCTAGTCATTTTGTGACTTAGATGGCCATACATGAATACGAAAGGCCAGAAGAGATTCGAGTTTCAAAATACGAGATTCAAGATCCGAATTAACCAATCAAAAGGCAGGTTCAACTTTGAATACTCCCCTTTATTTTGTTTTACTATCAAGAAATCGTTTAATAAATTCATATCAAATGGGTCATTTGCTTAAATAATAATGCAAGAAAAAATTATATACATGTATGTATGAAAACGAAATAAATCGGAAATTTGGATTACAAGAAAAAATGATATATGTATGAAAACGAAATAAAAAGGAAATTTGGATCTTATCATGGAATTAGTAGGTTGACATTTTTTTTAGCAAGAACATTGATGAGGGAGAAAATTATTATTTATATGAAAACTTAATGAGGATACATTTATTTACATTGTGCCCCCATTTCTTTACATTGTGCCCACGATAATTTTGCCGATATATAGAATACTCTAAAAATCATAACTTGGGGCCCCTCAATTTTGTGCCCCCTCAATAAAAACATCTGATGACTTTTTGTCCTCCGCTTGAAAAGTGGGGGATATTAATTTGGATTTGTCCGTCTGTCCGTCATTCTGTCTCTCTGTAACGCTTTCGTTACCACACGATATCTCGAGAACCCTTTGGGCTTTCGCAATGAAATTTTGCATATCAACTCACTATGAACTAGAGAGAAACCCTATTGATTTTGAGGTCAAAAGGTCAAAGTTCAAGGTCATAAATTTGCAAATTCTGTCTGTAATAACACTTTCGTTTCCGTGTGATATCTAGAGAACCCTTTGAGCTTTTGCAATGAAATTTTAAATAACAACTCCCTGTGGCCTATGGAAGACCCCTATTGATTTTGAGGTCAAAGTTTAAGGTCGTAAATTGATATATTCTGTCTGTATGAAACGCCATCCTTTCCGGGGGATATTTCAAGAAGATTTTGAGCTTTTGCAATGTAATTGTATATCCAAACTCCCTAGGACCTCTCTTACCCCACTCAAAGTGTCATGTCCCGTTTGTTTTATCAGTATTTATTGTATTACATATCGCTATTTTAAGCACGGGGGCATGAGGAGAGTTATTACGTGCAAGTTCTCGATGGACTTTACATTCTTATTACATCTTTTAGAACTGTTTATTAAAGGTTAAATTAGACACCATGCATTGTGTAAAATTTTGACAAGATCGAACGTTGAAATATACATGAATGTGACTTCATCTTTGCATATAATTTGTGTCTGTTTAAAGCAGTTGGTATGTCTCTCGCTTCATATGTGAGAGGGCCTGGGCTCGCATCTCGGACGATCCAATTTTTTTTTTCGAATTTTTTTTTTACTAAATGATACTGTAGTATTCAGCATGTGAAATGAAAAATATATGAGGTCTGGCTTAAACAAACTCATGAAATCATCATAACAGTGTGATAAATATTCCATATAAAAAGAATCTTCTATACACATAATAAAGAATAAGCAATCAAATCTTTATGAATTATCCATATTGGAATATTTTTTTTGCTTCTGTCAATCAGTATACATTTAATAATTCTACAAATTCAGTCAAGGGGATCTGATTCCCCCCGCCTCCCTCTAAACTGCGCATGGTTTACTTTTTCCCTAAGCGAGGGACACAAATTCTCTGAATTAGCTTGTTTGCTTTGTTTTTGGTTGTCAAACTGAAAATGTATGGCTGTGCCCCCCCCCCCCCCGTGAAATTATTGTTATGATTTTACTAGTATATTTAAGTCTTTGACCATAATATTATGGTCAGAGACTAAAATATAAAACAATAAAGCCACAGTTCTACAGCTTAGCAAGATTCATCTATACTATTTGATATAAAATAAAATAAATTCCAATCTGTAGTGTTTCTGTGATTTTTACTAGTCTAGATCTGTAGTGTTTCTGTGATTTTTAATTAACTTTAAGTTATCAAAGCCTTAAAACAAGATAAGGAATTGAAAATTAAATTTTTATATATTTCATCTATTAGGAAACCCTTAGCATATTTTTGTGCCCTAGAAAAACGAGATAACGTCAATAAGAATATCAACAACTTGATTAATAATGATGGCAAATATGTAAACAAACAACAAGAGATCTTGGAAGACGTTAATTTTTTTTATAAAAATCTAGATGAAAATAATCATGAACTCGATGATGTTAATATTGAAGATCTATGATTTTGTGTATTGATTGGTTATGTATCTTGCGAGACCCGAGCGGTTTCCTTTTAAAATTAATAATTTTCGAATATATATATATATATATATATATATATATATATATATATATATATATATATATATATATATATATATATATATATATATATATATATATATATATCCATGCATCGCAAGATTGACAATGAATGTCGATAACCACACATTTGTCCCCCCACCCTCCCATTTGGCCATTTCCGTAATATTTTCCCGATATAATGTACTGTAGAAAACAATAACTTTATGCTTATGTCCATTCAAAAATAACGTCTAATAACCATGATAACCCCTATTTTTCGGGGTTGGGGTGGAGATAGGGTATTAACAATGTTTTTTTGATTATTCCCAATGGGTCATTATTATACCCTCCACAAACAAATCACCTTGTCCGTCTGTCCGTTTGTCTAGCTGTACGTCCGTCCGTCCGTCTAGCTGTCCATCTGTCTGTGCAAACATGTCCTGTCCATATCTTTCTTACAGAGGAACATTAGAATCTACTACTCCACACAAAGATTGCCTAGGACTCAAGGGTGTATCTTGACCTTGACCCAAGGTAATTTGGGGAAGTTCAACGTCACTGGAAGAAAAATTGCATAATTCGTGTCCGGTCCATATCTTTCTTTTGGATAAACTTGGTAGGTTCTCATTTCACACAAAGATTGCCCATCACCCAAGGGTGTGTCATGACCTTGACCTAAGGTCATTTGAGGTTCAAGGTCACTGGAAGAAAAATTCTATGATTCATGGTTTATGCATATTTTTATTATGGAAAAACTTACCTCTGAAAAACCCAGCCGGGGCTATTTTGTTCCGTTTGGACAGCCATCTGTATTTAAGGGGCTGTCTATTGGTTTCATAAACTTGGTCACTTGCCACTTTCTAATACCTTGTCACAAACCCACCTTGAAATCCGTAGTACAGAGACGAGGCATCGATTTTGAAAGTGGGTTGGGGGGGGGGGCAGAAAAACCTTGAAATCTGTAGTACTAATTATTACAGAGACGAAGCAGCGGTCTTGAAAGTGGGGGAGCCAGAAAAAAAATTATTTCAAATCTGACAGAAACTGAGAGAAAAATGTGTCCAAACACGAGAATCCTATTTCGGGACGTGAAAGAGGCGGGGGGGGGGGGGGGGGGGGGGGGGGGGGGGCGAACTTCATTTAGTACCTTATCTCTTTTGATACAATATTACTTAAACTTCTTTGACTATCAATAGTAAAAAGGAAAAAGGGGGATGCATGTACTGTTAATTTAAGCTTACTATTATGTCAACAACCAACAACCTTGTATACAAAGTAGATAATACGAAATATATATATTCTTTATATAAATCTCTTATGACATTCACGAAGCTATAAATATAAATTAATTAAGCAAATTTTACAGACCAAAATCCAATCTTTCTTTGAATTTCGTTTTGATAATATATAAAACGTTTTCTTGCGTTGTAATTTAATCAAAAGACTTCCTCGGTATTTAAATACTCAACGATTTCTTAATAGTAAAAAATAATAAAGGGGAGTAATTGAATCTCAAACAGACTTTTGATTGGTTAGTTTGGATCTTGAATCTCGAAACTCAAATTTCGAATCTCGTATTTCGAATCTCGAATGAGCCTTCTGAGCTATGTAACGAAACAAAAAGTAATTTCCTTAGTGAGAATGACATTTAAGAATTTGATCTGAAATACACTTATAATTGAATTTTGGTAGAAACAATTGTTTGTTAAATTATAGCTTTCGTACCCCTCTATTCACTGCACCCCGAGGAGTTCTGATTCGGACCTTTTGCCTTTAGATTTTATTTCATCCGCCGTCTACTGTTAACAATTGGAAGCTTCTGTACTTCTTCTCTGGAAGCACTGAAGCAGTATGTATTACTATTTCTTAAAATTGTGCCACAATTGACAATGGTTCCTTGGGATGAATATTTTCAAAGTCACCCCCTAATTACATGCAACTGTATTAAATACTTTCACATAAATTTGGTGAAGTTGTTTTGCTAGCGTCAATTTCATGCATGAAGAGATTGGAGGAGAGTGATCAAGGTAATGAATAGCTGCAGAACTGTAGCTCTCTGCTTGAGACAATTCGGATAGATAAAGCAGAGAGCTACAGATCCAAGCGTTGTAAAAGCCTTCGATTTACGCCGACAGCGTTATCTATCCAAATTTTCTCAAGCAGAGAGCTACCGTTCTGCAGCTAGGTAATGAAGGTATTCCTAAAACGGATTCGAATCCTTCTGTAATGTTTCTGTGTATCGATTTGGAATTTTGATATACCATCTTAGCCAGAGCACACACGGACCTCCGAAACATCAGGTGCCATAAACCATCTTTGGGTCATACTATACTAAGTACATATAATAAGAACATTTAGAATGTAAAACCGAAAAACAGTTTTAATTTAATCGTCCTTTATATTTTCTTGACAACTTTGCGAAGAATTTTTATCTCATGGTTAGAGAGGTGATGGGTTGAAAGATTCTTTATTCTCTTTATGTAAATTTTCTAACCCCAATTCCCTGATTTATACAGATCATCCGCAACTAACAAGTTTTGTCTTCAGTTATTAGTACAAATGACAAGAGATTGAGTCTAATGCCATTTCAATGAAAGAATTGAAAAATAAAGATATTGATGGTTCGGAAGGGGAAAAATGATAAAATTGTAATTAAATGTTTGCTTACATGTATGTATGACTTTAAATAATGGATGTCAACGAATAGTCGACTATTCAACTATCAGTCGAAAGGAATGACGATCCAATATTGAAAGATTATTTAAAAAAAGGGGGAGGCGATAAAAGGAACTCAAGGAATTCTCATCTCAAATTTGAAAAGCGTCCTTCTTCAAACAAAAATACTGGTAGTATACGTCCTCAGACGATTACGAGCTCAAGCACACGCTTGTAACAGTATACAATGTATATATAATTTTCCATAACCAAATCTCTTCAGATCACTTTCAAGATACTAATGGAAGATACAGTAATTACTAATGCAAGTTTATTGCGATAATTATATCTCAATTACTGACCATTTTGGTTTCGTGGTAAAATCTGAAATAATACGGGACTTTTTTGTAAAATTAATTTACATGTAACTTGATCACAAACCAAATACCAATTATACATTTATAACCTGTCTGACGTGTAGATTATGTGTTTACCCCTCCCTCTTCCTTATATATGTTTTAAGAACGCCGTGCTTGAAATTTTTCTAAGCTTTCTATAATAAAAACTGATTTTACAAACAAATTATTAATGAATGCGATTTACGGGAAATCAGACTTTTTTGTATAGAATTGCCGGTGTAAATTAATTTTATTTTAACATCATATACCTACATTTGGTGCCTCTGAATATCTGTGTGTAATTATAATATAGGAATTTCATGTAAATTTTTATATAAATTGTCGTGAAAGAGTTTCTGATTTATAAATACGCTAATTAACAATGCAATTTTATTTTCAGAAAAAAACGAATAGTTGACTATCGTTCGAACAATGCAATTGATTGTTCAATTAAGGAATATTAATATTTTGACATCCCTACTTTTAATCTTTTAGTGTTGAAATGTCATACTTTCAGGTGAACAACATAACTATTCATCAAATGTCCGATGTCTACTGTACTGCTTACTGTTAACTGAGAAATATCAGTTAAATCTCAATGAACCATCACACAGGATCATAAGGGACGAAATCAGACAGAGGTATTTCTCTGATATTACTGATGACGGCTCGGTAGAGCTTCCTGATGCAATCACAGGAACACATGACAATGTAATAACGTTTAAATCAGACGATAACCGACATGGCGTCATGCATGCCTTTGTTACGGAGTGTCTGGTGAAGGACAGTGATCTGGAGTTTTTCCTGACCACGGCGTCACGTGACATGATATCAGAATACTGCCGGTCGTGGGCGTATAAGAGAAGTGAGGGAGAGAGATGTCTGTATGTACCGGAGGAGATGTCTGAGCTTTTCATTGACAAACTACAGCTGGACATCCTAACACACTGTACCATGTCTGACGTGAGGATTCATTACAAGATCAGTGAAAAGTGTAAGCATGAATTCTTACAGCAATTTTCTTACAAGTTTTCAAGTATTCCATTCACACATTTAAAATAAAGACATATTTGTATTCTTCATGTATGACTTTCGATTGCTATAATAAAATTGATACATCCTTTTGTACGTGAGCTTAATTAGAATTATAATCAATTATCGATATACTCTGTGCATCTATCAAAGTATTCTGTTCAAAAATATTTAGGATTTATACTATTTAAGGAAAAACAGTCTCATATTTATGTTTTTGGTTTCATGATGTAATAAAACGAGTAACTTGCATGATAATTTGCATAAACGCCGAAGGCATGTAGTGTCTAGAGCACTGAATGCTAAAAAATTATGTGTGGGTGGCGGAGGAAGGGGGATGGGGGTGGAGGGGGCGGCTGATTAGCAATGTAATTAAAAACAAGCCACCCTTTATTGTTACTTTAAGGTTTACAGCTTATAAGTATATTCAAAATGATACAATCAGTTACAGTACGGACTTGGATAATTTACAGGAGAACAATATGTACGCACATAAAAAATAATAATTAATGAAATAGAATGATGGAAAAATACAATTATTAGATTACAAAATCACCATTTCACCTTAAGCTACAATAAATATTTTGTCCAAGGTTACACATATCCTTATACATTTGTAGCTTGCAATCAATCATTAATTTGAACCTCTTCACCATTTGAGAATAGTATACAGACACCACAAAAACATATAGGTTATTTTATATAACAGTAGATCTATAAGGCATGCCTGAATAATAAACTAAACAAAACACTCGTAGGCTGCTATAAATGTGGTGTATGGAAATTTATTCCGGGGAGCAAATTTTATTTCTTTTTTTCATTAAGTATTGACAACTGCAATAATATGAACATCTCTAACCAACACATAAAAGCTTAATAGCTTTTCTAATCCATCAAACAGATTATTTTAATTTTCTTAAAAATGTAGAATTATAAGGGGAGGGGGTATCATGCCAAGAAAATCTTTTTTCGTGTGTACGTGGGTAGGTTCCAACTTCTTTTCCAGCAATTTTTATACCCCCGCAAACGAAGTTTAGGGGGGTATATTGGAATCACCATGTCCGTCTGTCTGTCCGTCTGTCTGTAGACAAGATTTTGTCCGGACCGTTTCTCAGAAACTGTTGGATGGATTTGACTGAAAATTTATACACTTATTATTCACCATATGAAGCTGTGCACCTGGTATTTTCATCATGATTAGATGATTTTTGTGCATTTTACAGGCATTTTTGTTTTTTATTTTGTTGTTTTGTTTGGCTCATAACTAGAAAACTATTAGACTTACAATCATCAAACTTGGACAATTAATGCATCTTGGGTAGACGGTGTATCACAACCTATTTCAAGGTCACTGTGACCTTTAATTTAAGTGATTAAAAAAAAAAATAAGTCTTTAAAATTTTAAATTTCATAATCCTAAAAAATGTAAAAATATAGTTGTATCCTTATTAAAAAATGCTAAATTAAGTAAAAACTTATTTTTTATCATATACTTTACAGCAAATTCTATAACAAATGTTAATGATTTGAGAGGAATTCAGTTTGTCCCATGGGCATAATTATCAAGCACTGGTCAAGGAGAATTTTTGATAGCAGAAATGTGCATGTCAAATTAGAGAGAAATTAATGAGTTCATTGTCGTAAGTTTACTGGCATCTAATCTTAATTTTTCTCTTGGGAGTTGGGCAAAAAGAAATGGCCTTATAGTTGCTTGTGTTAATTAAGAGTTCTTGATGGCTGCAGTTCAGATAAAGATTTTTCAATTGGTGTAATGTAATTAAAACAAATTGATGTTTTGGTGTATGATTAAAACTGAATTAGTATTGTATAATATAATTAAAATTAATTATACATGTGGTCATTGAAAAAAATTTACTTTTCAATTTTCATATATTTGCAACAAATTGCAGTCTTGTCTCACTTAGAATTTTATAGTCTAAAGAATAATTAATTTTTGATTTTTTTTTATTAGACTGAAGCATTTCCATTATTTCATGAAATATGCAATAAACAATTTAAAGCTGCAGATGGATATTTGTTAAGCTCTAACACAGCCAGTTTAGAATTATATGATGTATTCTTTGTTTTAATTAATCCCTACACTGTAAGTCTCTAAGAGATGTATGTACAATATTTAAAACATGATAAGAAATGGAAATTAGATTATTGAAATCTGTGTCAATCTGTTAATCAAGGTTACTAAATTTTCTTGCACCCTAACCAATTTATGATTATCGAACAATATTTGATGCGCGTATTATGCTGTGGTAAGGCACTTTATTAGACAAAAGTGAATACCTCTTACTAGATCCATAAAATATTTCTGAATTGGCACCTACTCTGAAAAACCCAGCGGGGGTATTTGTCCCTATTGGACAGTTCTAGTTATTTATCTGAACATACTAAGAGGGGTGATCAAAAAGTTCTCGAACTAATTGAATAACTTCCAAAAAGAAATAATATAGGGTTTCAATTTTGTAAATGTTTAAGTGTAGTCCTCTCCGATTTTAATGCGTATCTGCCACCATTCTGCCAATGCGCAGATCATGTGATATTGGCGGTCACATGACATACTCCTTAGCGTTCTGTCACGTTCTGTCTTTTTGCGACACTTATATTTCTTGCTATGTGATATTTTTTCATCAACTCATAAGGAGTTCCAAAATAAAATAAATCAAGTCCAATAAACATGGCGGAATGATTTAATTTGTAATGATCACATAGTTACACAAAAATTCAGGTAAGAATTACAAACAAAATAGCAATTATTGATAATTTGAACCGGCATGAATCAACCCCGCTCTTGTACCATTACAAAGATGTTGAAGCCCCCCACTCCCCAAAATAATAATAATAAAGCTGGGAGAGACGCCTACATTATTTTAACTATTTTCTATTCTTTAAACTGAAGTTTAAAAACATAAATTTTTCATGTTGTGAAAAATTTCTTCTTTTACGTGATACAGTGGGAGTCCCTAGAGAAGTACTACTATGGGACCAGGAGGCCAGAGAGCGGTATGTGGAGTACGCTAAGAGAGGAACACAGACAGTCCATCACGCCCGGGGGATGATTGTAGGATGTGCTGGGGCGGGGAAAACTACGCTACTTAAACGTCTGCTTGGTTGTAGTGAAGAAGAGAGTAAGAAAGTAAAATCTACTGAGGGGCTGGAGGTGCATGAGGAAATATTTGAATTATGTGATGAAACAAAATCATTAAAAGGTAATAAGAGGTCGCGCACGGAATTGGGGCTGATTTTGTAACGTCATTTTCATGTGTATCTATTTTTGCCGTTGTTGCGTACGTCGTCTAAGCGTAAAAACGTTGAAAATTAAAGGCGTAACAAATTAGACTAGACATCCATTTTTGCTCTCGTTTTCTTAAGAGTGATTAACTTTTTACGATTTATTTAATATAATATTTTATTCATTTGCATATTTTAAAAATGAGATTTTATTTGTAATAAGTTTTTCCATTAAAAAGTTTAACCGAACATTCCATCTTTTCTTGCTTTTTGTCAAGATTACGACATGTTACGGAATGCTTCAAATTTTACGAACAGTCGGAATTGGCCAGTTTGGGAAATTTATTTATGAATTATGTGGTACATCATCACAGGACATTATAGATGCTTCATACAAATTAGCAGAAAAATCCATCCAACCAAAACGATAAATTGACCAAAAATACTAACGCTAGTCGTTTTCAGTGTTACAAGTGACGCAATTTAGAACCCTATTACTATGTGCGACGTCATAAGTGGTGCTCCAACTTATGCCTGAGAGAGAGAGAAAGAGAGAGAGAGAGAGAGAGTGTGTGTGTGTGTTCTCGCATAAAACAAAAATATGATATGCTTTTTTTCTTATTTTTTCATCTCTATTTTTTTTTTTTCAATAAAAATTTGACCTTTGATTTTATTTTAAACATTGACATCAACATAAACTTTCTGTTTTTATTTGTGCTTCATGTTTTTTAAAATACACTGACGTTGCAAATCAATACTTTTGTGTGTCATTAAGTGTAACTTTTATAGTTAAAACTGTGTAAAACTGTAAAATTGATGTTTAAACAATGGCACAAATTGGAAATGTCGATATAATGCTCACTGCACAGTATTGTCGACAGTAGAATCAATGCATCTTATGCTCAATCATATACATAAATTACCCTCAATATTGTAATTTTAACACTTAAAAGTTTATTTATATAATTGGTCTTTTCATGTTATGAAGTGAAAAAATGTCAAAACCCATCTTATTGCTTCGTTCCTATTGTGTTATTATAAATATAATGTGAGATGTGTCGGTTTAGAAAAATAGAAATTTTAAACGCATGATGGCTCCTTTTAGCAAAGAAAATCCAGGAAAACAACGACAAAGTAAATACTACAAATGTTGGCGCTAGGACTCTGACTTTCTTTGACTTCGGGGGCCAGTGTGCGTACTACGCCTGTCACCAGATTTACCTGACCAGGAGAGCTTTCTATGTTGTGGTGGTGGACGCCTCTAAACGTCTGGACCAGAAGGTGGATAAGAAAGTGTGTGATCAAGATGGAAGCCTTTTCTCTGGATGGACCTATGGAGGTATAAAAATATATGCTTTCTGTCCTTCAATTTAAATATGATATGTTTGATTTTTCAAATAGGTATCGTAAACAGATATTGTTGTATTTACGATTACCACTGTATGACTGGTCAGAACGTTTTTGATTCTCCTAATTTTCGTTGTCTACTTTTTAACTGAAGACTTTCTCCAAAGCATTTAATTTATTGATTTCATGATCATAAGATTGATTGGAAACTGTGCATTTGACCATGAATTTTACAAAATCTCTATCATTATTAACGCACTAAATTGCCGACGGATTTTCTTGTTAAATGTATTTTCCGATCATGACACGTATCACCTGAAGTGTATGACCGGTCTGCAGGGGATATCCACTCCTCCATGGCACCTGATCCCAACTCTTACGTTTATAGTTCCTTGTTTGCTCTGCGTTAGAATTAATATTGTGTAATGGACGATTTAGCTTATGCTCGACCTTAATAAACGTTCATTATCTCCATATATTTCATTCATTTATAATGAATTCTGCACAAAATCAGTTTTATATACTAGTAGTTACATATAATCAAGCAATAATGGGACAAAAACATTAGCTCAAAAACAAGAATACACTTATAGGAGGTCCAATAATTATTTCATATTTTTATTCTTTCATGAACGTTTTATCAATGCAAACCATACTTTTTGAGAAGGGTGTGGCTGTTTTGTGGGTATTAAGTTTTGATTTTATTCTATGCATATTTTTGTTTTTTTTTAAATTTGGACACAATATAAATGAATTGAAATAAATTTCTTTGAATAGACGAATTTCACATTCCTAAGAGTTATCTCCCGTTGTCGGCGTAACGCTCATTTTTCCCTCTTTGTCCTTTGTGAGGTACCTGTTAATATTTTTAAAATTCAAACGTTCTATGACAATTTTGATATGTACCTGTATTGCCAGAGTATGAGGCAACATGAAAAACATAATGAGCATATTCATATAGATTTTATTTCTAGGATACTGACCCATAAAGTTGGTAAGGTTACAGAGGGAAAACAGCGTCTTACGCCGGTTGACCCCGGATTGACCCCACAAAGGGGAATAACTTTTGTAAATGTGAAAGTCGTCTATTCTATTTTTAAGGGGTTGGGATATCTTATATTTTTGTGATTTCATTCTCTTGCACACACTCTCCACACTCTAATTATTTTGCATAATTATATAAGCCAAAAAGTTCTCCTGCCAACAATAAATCTTTTAATCTTTACCTTAATTGATTTGTCATCCTTACATGTATTTGTTTCTTCTGTAAACTTTTACTTCTAATACATGTACAGGGATGGTAAAAGAGGGGAAAATGTATTATAGTATAATCATTATCCCAGACGAAGTTTGTGAACACAGTATTTATAATGAAATGAAAATCCACATGTTTTCATCAAAATCTATTAAATTATAAGAAATTACTTTCTAGTAAGTATGGTATGCCAGGGCACCATCGACAGTGGGAAACACAGGATAATTTCCATAAAGGGGCGAAGCTCGTTTTGTATAAATTATCCAATGTTTCCCATATCGTTGATTCCCTGGCATACCATACTAGCAAAAAAGTAATTTCTTATATTTCCATTTCATTATTAGATAAAATTGTAGATTTAGACATTAAAAATGTAGACAACGATTTAAATTACACGAGGACTCTCCTGCCGATTTCAATTGTCCCCATCCGCTGACGTCAAACACAAAGACAGCCGCACTAGAACTACATGCATATATGGCCTCGTTATAGCGTCAAACACAGACAGATGAGCAGGAGATTTTAATGCATATAAGGCCTCCTTCGCTCCTGAGCTATCGTCCTGCCTAATTTACATTCCGGTAGAATTATCAAGAAATCAACTCCGCTAACTTTTAAAGAGTTGTTACAGGGGGGAAAAAAATTAGAAATGGAAATATAGAATCTTTAATCTATTTAACTATAAAAAAAATGTGTTATCCTTTAGATTGAATGTCATCATATTTTATTCATTATACCTGTAATGAAAATACTAGAATGGGCTTACAACGAAACAAAGAAATTGACAAAGACAAAATTTTGCCTGTTGATGAAATCTCGCTTGGATAATATACTCACCGTCAATAGAATTGCAACATCCTAATTTTATGGTGAAGATTATATACGGGTTATAATTACATGTACCAAAAACGTTAAGACATTTTTACTTTGACAAATCAGTTATGTAATTGTTGAATAAATTTCTGTCCATTACCGGAAGATGCTTTTTAGCCTTTTTAACAGAAATCTTAATTTTTCATTTTTAATTAAATTTTAACAATATTTGGGGTTTTCAAGGTTTTGAAGCTGTTAATCATAAGTATTGTACTAAAATCCCGGGGAAATATCCTACTTTCTTTAATGAAAATGAAGATTGTTTTTTTTATATAGCGCTTTTCTAGCATAAATGCTACTCAAAGCGCTTTACAATACATTATTACGCAAGCAGACCTTAACAATCCAGAATCTTTCTCAGTGCAAGCTGTCGTTATCAGCGCTAGACCATGCCAAGAAATCTCGTTCGATTTCGACAGCGATGGAGTCAATAAAAGTGTAATTGATGCAAATCACCCATATTCCCAAAACGCCGGCAAGACAATTTACGGCAGCAGACTTCTGGGGGTGGATCCTAGGTTCTTAGCTTTCTTAGTTAGAGAAAAAATAAACGTCTAACCCAGGAAGTAGTCCCTTATGCCCTAAATAGTTCCTGTCAAAAATCTTTATTTATTTACAAAATACGTAAAATGTCAGAGGCACTGGTACCAAAATTTATATTTAAAAAAGTTGAATTGAAGAAAATATAAAAAAAATCTACAGAAAATATTCACTTTTAAATGAAAATGTTTACATAGCCAATCGGGTAACGTCTACCCATTCAGTACTCGTCTCCATCTTGTTCAACCAGGAAATGATGTAAGCGTCCGGGAATTCGGTACCCTTTTATCTATATTTCGACGCGGTACTTCCACAACTACCAGATGCCAATTTGTACTTAGAAAAAATATTTTGAAATTTAATTACGTAAAAAAATGAAATACAGCTTTTTTTTTTTTAAAAAGAATTACTTAACTATAATTATTTTCCTTTCCTATTTTTGATTCCCGCCCCCCCCCCCCAAAAAAAAGACGGGGGGGGGGCAAATCTTATGAATAATTAGTATTCTACCTATAATTTAAACCCAATAAATTTTAAGATCCCTCCCTCAAATCTGCTGACATTAATTGCTTGGCGCACATCTCCCCGGGGAAGAATCACAGATTAACGTTAATTCAGCTTTTATTGAGTTTGCTATATGGAGAGAATGCTAAGGTTTTCTTGGCATGCATTAATATTCTGACAATATCTTTCACTGTTTATAGCCAGGTACCCCTTTTAACCTTGGGTGGAGTGAGGAAATTCATGTAAAGTGCCTTTCCCAAGGACACAATGTCGGCTTGTCGTGGCCAGGATTCGAACTCACAACCTTCCGGCACCTTAACCACTGGACTACCGATGCCACTGGATTACCGACGCTTTACCGGATGTTATGTCTATATTTCTATGGCTTACGAAGCCATTATAGTTCCCGGGGAGGTCAACATTACCGCTACATTGCCAAAAATTTCAACTCATTACCGCTACATTTTGTCACTTTTTCGACCGATCATTACCGCTACATTTTTCCGGCAAAAAACAATTCATTACCGCTACATACTGAATCAGCTAAAAACAACTCATTACCGCTACATATCGATTTAGCCAGGTGTAGTTCGGTTTACATGAGTTCTAATCAACAGAATTCACTCACTATCTAATCAGAATGAGTACATATATATAAATAACTCTGCAGTCGGAATTTAATTATTTAGCGTCATCTGAACATTATGGCCACCATTGAGAAGTTTGTTACAAATCGAGAGAATGCCGGTAAACATCGATTTTTTAAAGAAAAAATAAGAGTTTCAAAAACTCAAAATTGTGGAGATGTGTTGAAAAGAGTTGCAAAAGCAGCTGCAGAATAGACCTCGACGAATTATTTGTTGATTTTAATAAAAAAAAAAACATCCCCGTGGTGAGCAGGAGGAACAGGGCTTATGCATGTACAAGTATAGGTTGTACTGTACATGCATAAGTGACTGGCTAACGAAAGAGGCAATGTAGCGGTAATGTATACTTTTTTATGTAGCGGTAACGTAAGGTTTTTTGTAGCGGTAATGACTATGTAGGGGTAATGAAAATTTTGAAAATGTAGCGGTAATGATACGCACCCAGTTCCCGGTCAGGCCGGTGTATCTTTACGGCAAAGAGTTCACTGTGTATTCTAGTAGACATGAGCAAGATAAAATAGTCCTCGTCTTTTCTTTAATTCTAGTTTACCTTTGTTGTGAAAATTACTCACCAAGTTCTTAATAAAAAACCTTGTTGTTTTTATTTAATTTTCGCTACTGAAGACAAGATAAACCAAATAAAAAAAAACTAAATTGAATAAACTCTTGTGAGGACGCGGAAGAATATCGTCTAACCGTATGTGTAAACAGCGCCACCGTGTAGGTAAGTCGATCTAAATGAAAGAAAGAGAACTCTGTCGGGAATACGTTATCGCGCCAGATAGTTCGTAGGATTACAGATTAAATGTATTTTACCTTACAAACTGTTTAAACAGCTGCTAAAAGCAGTGATTGCCTATGGCCGTTTTTGCATGGCGATAACGCGATCACGATCTCCCGCCAACTCAATGTTGTGAACTCAATGCTTATCGCGGCACGGGGGTAAGATGCAATAGCCTAACTGTCAATTTTTTGTTCATTGCAATTTAATTACTGGCATATATTACTTAATATCAAGCTTGTAGTTGATGAAAATATTAATTCATAACCATAAAATGTAATTGATGGCTGTTAGATAGTACGAACGGTAAAAGGAATACACTTGCTAATGTATAATGTGGGGTTTTCCGACATTCGCAGGTCGTTCTACAAATAAAATTGATGCCCCGACATTAAAAAAAAAAGATTCATCATTTAAACACATAATATTTAAGACAATTTTTTGCATTCATGTACTGAAAATGAAACGTGTGATTAACATTTTCAATGTTTCTGAATTTACTTTGTGAACTCTGGAAAGCACTTAGTTCAAACGCATGTGCTTCTAATACACCATTCAGAAGCGCTCCAAGTGTCAATATCTAAATGCAGTAAGGATAACATTGGTGCTACATAATGAGAACAAAAAGTTTCAAGATAACTGAAAGAGTAGATACATAAAAAATAAGGGAGGGTCATTAGGGGCCTATATATATTTGTAGATAGCAAAATAAGCACAATACTGTAACATAAAACAGTAAAAAGACAATGGCTTTATAGAAAATTTTAAAAGAACAATTTTTCGTGATTAGATCTCTCTATATGAAAAACTCTATTGTTGAATAATTTTAAGCAAAAACTTACAATTTGTTCAAAATAATATATATTTAGCTTTTATTTACCTTTAAAAAAGTTTATAATGAATTTGTATTTTTCATTAAAATATGAATTTAGATAAAATAAACTCAACTGCAAAAAAAAAAAAAAAAAACGCCTCACGCCGTCAATTCAGCGACTCCCACCCTTGCAGTAAGAAATTTCTGAGGAAACACGAAGTAATATTCTAGTATACTACATTTCCTTACATTTTACATCCATGTCAAGCACGTAAGCCATTATGGCTCTTCAGGCCTTTGATTTCAAAATAACTGATAGCAGGAAGGGTGATGTTTTAAGAGGTGTGTGTTACCTTCTAAAGTTTAATGATAACATTAAAAATGAAAATATTTAGGTAAAAAGTAAATTTACAAAAAGTTGATGCTTCATTTAAACGTAAAATGTTATTTTTTTACCTAAGAAAGAAAAAAATACCCGGTAATTCTTAAAACATTCCCCTTCCGATCATTTCACGAAATCGTGATAGTCCGCCATATGCAACAAATGCAGCCCGATTTCTACCATGCATTAGGTTTATTAATGTCTTAATCTGAGCGAAATTAATATTCTTGGGCATTTTTTAAAGCATGTTTTCAGATACTGCGGTCGAATTTTCTCTAAATTGGCGTAGTGTAGTAACTCTTGGACTTCCGGTCTAGAAATTGTTTTCTATGCTATTGAAACACATGAGCCTGTTGAGTCGTTATATAGTGTACATTTGGACCTGCAGCTCTTTTTTTTTCGTTATTTTGAGAATTTCCAGCATTAACAATGAAAATCCGTCATTATGAGGAAATATAGGCATCACAACGGTAAAGAAAGTAGGATTTTTTCCCGGGATTTTAGTACAATACTTGTGATTAACAGCTACAAAACCTTAAAAACCCAAGATATTGTTAAAATTTTTATTAAAAATGCTTAATTTTGATTTCTGTTTTCGCAAATCTCGCCTGAAAGTATTACACTGTGGCCTAAATAGCGTTGCCTTGAGTATTGATACAATTGGATTTGACAATTGAACAATTTGAATCACGGGGTTCATTCCAAAAAACAAGCATTTTAATTGGTTGATTAGGACCCGCCCACTCTCGTGCAGTATCTTTTGCCCGAGTTGGAAAGCGTCCAACGGCCTGATGATTGTCGAAAATCGATGGTGACTCTTTGAACTAAACACACACAAACTATAAAATCACTTTTTAGCATGTGATATTTTCCTTTCAAAGACAGTACATGTTTATAGCATTGGATGACACACCTATTTTTATTTTTTTATTTTAATCCTGCCGATTTTCTATTCACGGCATTTTCTGTTTTCGGTGTTGTACCGCGCGTACTTACGTAGAAAGCATATCCAACTAATATGTGGTAAAACATTGGATTTATTCAAAAGTTTACTGGGTTTTTTTGTCACAACTGTCAAAAATACCATGTTTCAAATGTGTGTGTGCTACTGCTTTTTTAACTGTCGTCATGGTGATATTAAAACAAGTTGAAATCATTGTGGGTTTTTTTTTTAAAAATGTAGCGCACTTTTTATGGTAATGGCGAATAAATCAATATTATTCATATGTTCACTATAAAATAATTAATATCACTAATACATTTTCCAAATTTAAGTACGTTTTAGTTTTATTAATGTACTGAAGAAATAAACGGGAAAAACGGCCCCGTTTTTCAATCGCATTATAATATGCCATGTGTGAAGTGTATAACTGTATTGTTTTAAGTCAACTTCTGCCAGGTCTGGATCGGATTTATTTAAGAATTCAAGATCATTATACAGGTTACCCACGCTCACAATAATTAAATAAGGTATTACATTTACATCATACATGTACATATAGGTCCACTTCCGAAGTCTTCGCTCAGTAAATAGAGGCCTACCACTTGTTTACAGCTGTTTCCATGTGAAAGTGGGCGGGCCTATAGAAAAGCACCAATAAGATTCTTTGTTGGATTTCGCAATTGTATTTCAGTCAGATTCATCAGTGTCGTCACTCAACGCAATAGTTTATTGGTCCAAGTGTATACTTTGAAGCAAGATTTGCGATAAGAGGACTAAAATGCAACTTCCGGTAGTGGAAAAAAATCATTCAACCGTTAAATAACTGATTTGGCAAAGTAAAAGCTGTCTTAACTTTTTTGATACATAGTTATAACCCGTATATAATTTTCAACCTGAAATTAGGGTGTTGCGTTTCTATTGACGGTGAGTATAAATATAATAGGAGCGATAAAAAGACAATCCTGATTAAATATTTACTGTCTGCTAGATTACCTTACATGTGTGGTATATCATGTTAAGCTGAAAATATTGAGTTGACTTAAAATCACTGAAAAGCCGCAAATTGATTTTTAAACAGTATTTTATATTTTTTATATCAATTTAAAAAGGAATATTTACATCTCTTTATTGCAGACTACTTTGTGTTCTGGATAAAGTCTATACATACCTACTGTGGTTCCGACAATGAAAAAGACACAAAACCCATAGTTCTAATCGTTGCAACTCATTGGGAAAAAGGAATCAGACAGTTTAGGGTAAACTTTTCATTACTACACCATTATCAGTTTGATTTTTTAAAAATTCTTTAAGAACTTAAATCTTTATCATTCTGTAATATAATATTTTAGTGATAAATGTAATAGTCTTTATTGTATAAAAAGCAATTCGTTATGCTACCGCTCAGATCTATATCATTTAAACATGTATGCATCTACTGTAGATTCCTAAATAAGCACGTGGAAATAATCATGACCTTATTTCGCGAGAAGCACCACAAGTTAAATGACATTACTCATCTTTATTCTTATAGTGTTGAAATTTATGTAAAATCTCTTGAACAACCGTCCATTGCGATAAAAAGAACTCACAAAAAATTAGGAATCCACAGTGATTTGAATGATTTGTACACAAATATAATAGGTATTAGAAAGTCAATAACACAAGAATTTTCATATATTTACATTCACCTCCAATTAGTATTTTTTTTCGAAGGCTTCAATAAATGTATGTCTCTGGGACCTTTTCTGTCTTGTTAAGCATAAAGATTCATATGATACATAAAAAGAAAATTACAGTCCAAAATAATATCTAAAAGATAATAGAAAGAGATAAAAGATAGTATTCTATTACCACTTGAAATTAAATGGATAAAAGAACTATATGTAATACATGTACGTATTTACACGGGAATGTAATTTTTGCAAGTAGACAGACTCGCGTAATTATGAAAATAAAGTTCTAAAGAATAAAAAGTAATTAACAGTAATTTAAGAAATATCTTTTTTTAATGTAGGATACAAATGAACTGATTGAGAGCTTGCACCAGCAATTTCCAAAGACATCTAATTTATCACAGTACATCACAGACGATAACGTGTATTGTGCAGATTTTACTTTACCTCTCCGTGACTTAGAAACTTGCTTCTTCAACATAGCTTCCAATCAACGATGGAGAGAAAGCATTCCAAAAGAATGGTCCTTCTTTGGATTAGAAATAAACCTGAAAAAACACACGGAGCGGATCTTGAAGATTTCAGAAATAACAACGAAAGTACCAGAGATTACCACTAAAGAACAGGAGGTTTCAGATAAAGCTGAAAAGAGAACACAAGATATGCTGCGGTATTATCATGATGCCGGAAAAGCCTTATATTTTAATGAAAATGGTCTGAAGGAAAAGGTAATCATTGATGTTCAATGGTTTATTGATGCCTTCAAACATATCATCACAGACAAGCTTCATTTCAAAGGCATTCCTGTAGCACAGGGGGACTGGGATGAATATTACAAAACTGGTTATTTGCGAGACCAGCTTCTGGTAAAGATTTGGAATTATAAAGATAAAGAGTTGTATGAAAAGGTTAAGGAAGAAGACGAAGATTACAACACTGAAATTTGGAAATTTGAAGATGAAGAATCGGATACTGAGGACAAAGACTCGGGTAGTGGATACGGTTTATATGGAGAAAAAAGATATCTAAAGTCTCATAAATACACACTTCTTCACTTAATGCAAAGACTTGGTTTGTTAGCTATCGGTACGGAATCTCATTATGTTCCGTGCATGAATCGTAAAGAGATCGAAGAAGAACTTCCAAATATCATCAAGAAATCCGAAAGTAAATCATCTGTTCTTGTTTATCGTTTTGAATTTCTGCCATTTTTCTTGTTTTACCGTCTTGTTGTTGCTTGTATACAAGAAGTTGGTTGGAAAGTACTCGAAAATGATGGTACATCTTGCCTTTACAAAAACGCTGGTTTGTTTTCGTATAATAAGTATAATATTGTTTTATCTGTCACTAAAGATTCGATCCAACTTCAAGTATTTCATCCGATGGCAGGATATGTTTTGGAAAGAGAACAAACATGCAGAATTCAAGGAAGAATAGAAGAAATATTAAATAATTTAACGGGAACATTTAATAGGAAAATAAAGTTTGTTAGAGGCTTTAGATGTCAAGACGATGAGAAAGAAACAATTGCGATGAATATCGAAAATTTTTTCTTACTGGAAACAAGGATTCCAAAAGAAGATGGAAAAATGATATGCCCTTTGCATTCAGTCACTGATCGGCATATCATTGATACCACTAAGTTGACCAAATATTGGGAAATAAAGAAGGAAACGATTCTTTAAGACGGTAAATAAATTTCAGAATTACGAATAATTACTTTTTAAACTGTTTTATTTGATCCAAGTGATTCACGATCGTTTCAAACTTAGATGAATCAAAATTCTGTATTCACAGTAAGGTATTCAAAAACGTTTGTACTTTCAGATCTTTTGTTGAAAAAATATGAGGACAGGGTTATAAGAACAGTTTCACTATGTGTCTCTATATATCGACTCAATGGCACATTATTCATTTTGTATTTTCCTTAGCAATCTGGCAATGTATATATTTCATATTAAACTTTCATGTAAATTGGTTGAATCTAATTTGTCAAGAATCATTTGCTATAAATTCCCTTACCCGCTGAATAATGCAGCCATTCCTTCCAGCATAGCAGCAGTTAATAATGCTTGTCGACTGGTGATATTCCAAAAAAAGATATGTTGACTGCGCAGAATTTTTGAGCGCAAAGTTCACTATAATTTGCATTTATATAAACATTCGGTTTAATATAATAAATATTACATGTACTTTGCTTTAATTTTCAAAATTATCATCCCTCAAATCCATTGTCAACCTCGGCTGTGCTTTCGTTGACAATCGTTTTCTTGGTGGAATTTTTTTTTTATTTTACGTTCAACTACGTGTTATATTTATACATTATTATGATTAAGAATCTATACAATGCTGTACATTATACGATAGTCGGTAAGTTAATTGTGCAAAAGTTAATCTCAAGAAATACTTAAAACAAATTTTAGTACCATCATTGCTTCAAAGTATTCCCTGTTACTCTGTACACATTCTTTTGACAAGAAAACCTCATTAGCTACTAATATAAGGGATACCCAAAGACACTGAAAATTATAAATAACACCTCTCATGATATATCTGAAATTGTACAATCATTCATTGTTTTGTGCGATTTGGATTAAAAATATCTTACAATTGCAGATGTCGGATTGGCAAAGCTTTGTATATATTTTTTCCTGATAAATTCCATATATTTTAATTGATATGCTTATTGTTGTGTTGGCAAGTAAAAAAAGGATACTGGCGCAATAAGTTTACAGGATTCCCGGTTATAAATAACTTATTGGAGTAGTTCACAATGCGTATCTAAATATCGACTTTAATAGTAAATACACTCAGTTCCTCTTTTATTTTATATTTTCACAAGTAAACTAGCAAAGTATATATTTCTGCTTTTTATTTTTGTTGGATATTTTTCGAATGTGTTTGTACATAGCACGAAGAATATACTTATCTTATAGAAAAAAATATTATATGACTGTATATTCTTTTTTTAAATCTAAACTCTATAAATGTAATGATGATGAAATAGTGGTTAAGCAATGTAAAATTTCTCAACTTATCCTTGCTTTCTGTAAACAATATTAAAGCATAAAAATTAGTCTTAATTTAAATTTCTTGTCTTTACTCATGGGCATTAAATAAAGCACATACTATATAACTATTATTGCAGTACAAACATTGCCAAGAAATTCCCTAAAGCAGTTTATTCATGTCAGTCAATAAAGGTTTCTTTTCAGGATGTAATGTATTTAACCAAAAAAGAATGCTTCAACTATACAATGTAGCTATCAATCGTAATCACAAACAAGCTAATTCAGAGAATTTGTGTCCCCTGCTTAGGGAAAAGTAAACCATGCGCAGTTCGGGGTCGGGGGGGGGGGGGGGAGGGTAGGGGGTTCGGATCCCCTTCACTGAATTTGTAGAATTATTAAATGTATATACTGAATCAAAATATGTCAATATGGATATAAAGGATTGATGGATTATTCTTTATTATGTGTGTAGAAGTTTTTTTTATTTGGAATATTTATCACACTGTAATGATGATATTATGAGTTTGTACAAGCGAGACCTCATAAATTTTTCATTTCACATGCTGAACACTATCGTTTAGTAAAAAAAAGAAACGTATTTCGAAAAAAAAATTGGAATGCCCGAGAACCGATCCCGGGCCCTCTCGTATGTGAAGCGAGAAACATTACCACTAGACCACGGAGCCGCTGTAACATGCTGATATTGTATGTAAACATGAAGTGACATACATGTATATATTCACGTTCGATATTGTCAAAATTTTACACAATGCATGGTGTCTAATTTAACCTTTATTAAACAGTTCTAATAGATGTAATAAGAATATAAAGTCCACCGAGAACCTGTTTTATATGTTATAATTCTTTTCATATCCCCGTGCTAAAAATAGCGACATGTAATACAATAAATACTAATAAAACAAACGGGGCGAGGCACTTTGAGAGGAGTGAGAGAGGTCCTAGGACTTTTGGTATAAGATTACATAGCAAAAGCTCAAAATCTTCTTGAAATATCGCCCGAAAATGATAGTGTTTCATCCAAAAAGAACATATAAATTTACGACCTTGAACTTTGACCTTTTGACTTCAAAATCAAGAGGGGCCTTCCTTAGACCAAAGGGAGTTGTTATGTGAAATATTATTGCAAAAGCTCAAAAGGATTCTCGAGATATCGTGTGGAAACGAAAGTGTTTTAACAGACAGAATTTGCTTATTTATGACCTTGACCTTTGACCTTTTGACCTCAAAAACGATAGGGGTCTTCTTCAGTCCATAGGGAGTTGCTGTGCAAAATTACATTGCAAAAGCTCAAAGGGTTCTCAAGATATTATGTGGACACGAAAGCGTTACAGACAGACAGAAAGACGGACGGATGGATGGACGGACGGACGGACAAACCCAAATTAATATCCCCCACTTTTCAAGCGGGGGACAAAAAATACCTTTTGGAGATCAATTATTTAGTTTTAATTTATTTTTTTTTTTGTGTTTATTATTGTAATCATTTTGTTCAACATCGTAGATAGATTTAACATAACAAGCTAATTCAGAGAATCGTGTCCCCCGCTTAGGGAAAAAGTCGGCTCCCCCTGACTGAATTTGTAGAATTATTAAATGTATACGAGGGTCATTCAAAAAATGCGTAGACAATGCTTCTCATCGTCATATGATTATTACAAGATTATAGATCAACACATTTTCGTAAACATAAACATTTATTTTGTCGAAATGTGAAGTTTCATTCCATTTGATTAAACAAAACTCACGTTAGCCAAAATTAAAAGCAACATGTTTTGTTACTACGGAGCACGGTTAACCAATATTGTAACGTCAAAAACAACGCTGAGAAAGTTTGTCAAAAGTATACACATTTTTGTTATTTTAAACACGGTTTGTTGCGTCTTCTCCATTCAAAACACATTTCCACAATACTTAACACCTGGTTTGCTAACAATTGTACAAATATAGCTTGAATTAGAATGTTATTGTTTTCAAATTCTTTGATTTACCATGCAACTTTATTATTTCTGCAACATTGAAGCACACATCACGTTCAATGACGTTCCTAACTCTTTTGACAATATTTTTAACTTTAACCTGTTTCTTTGCAGACAATCCATCGTCCGATTCAAACTCGCTACCACTCAAAAATTGTATTTTCAACTTAATACAAATACACAGATTTTTTTTCATACAGATCCTGATTTATAAGGATTTTTTAAGCTTCTAGAAAAAGTTTCCCGAATGTCAAGTCTAATTGTATTGCTACTTGCTGCTCCGTGACGTCCTCCAACGTCATGGTTTTTGCCTTTTTTTAATCAAGTCCATATGTATTTAGAAGCTTATATCTTTTAAATGGAACGAGATATTACATAACCTGATTTCATTTTGACTAAAACAGCAATACCCTATTTAAACATGTAAATTTTATTTCGTTTCAGCTCCATTCATTAGAGGTATAGCTGTAAATACTATAAAGTGAAAATTAGAAAATTACTCAATTTTGACGGTGCTCCGTGACCCCATTTTTGCTGTTCTAAATCCTTGGTAATTTTAATAAATATAAGGATACATTCCAATTTTTTAACTCAAATTATTTGAATCTGTTGTTAAAATATTTGAACCAAATTTGGATATAATATGACGTTAAATAAAAAAGTTAGGACAAAAGTCTACGAACTTTTTGAATGACCCTCGTACATGTATACTGAAGCAAATAAAATACATGTATGTCAGTATGTATATAAAGATTTGATTGCTTATTCTTCATTATGTGTATAGAAGATTTTTTTATATGGAATTTTTATCACACTGTTATGATGATTTTATAACCTCATAAATTTTTCATTTCACATGCTGAATACTATCATTTAGTTAAAAAAAAGTATTTAAAAAAAAAAAGAAAAGAAATATTCGTCCGAGATTCGATCCCGGGAACTCTCACACTTGAAGCGAGAGACATAACCACTAGACCACGGAATCGCTTTACCTGGTGCGAAGTATATGCAGAAGTGAAGTCACATACATGTATATATTCATGTTTTCATGTTCGGTATTCTCAAAATTTTACACAATCCATGGTGTTTGATTTATTTAGCCTTTATTAAACAGTTCTAATACATGTAATAAGAACATAAAGTCCGCCGAGAACCTGTTTTATACGCAATAACTCTCCTCATGCCCCTGCGCTAAAAATAGCGACAAGTAATACTATAAATACTAATAAAACAAACGGGGCGGGGCACTTTGAGAGGGGCGAGAGACGTCCTAGGGAGTCTTGATAAAAAATTACATTGCATAAGCTCAAAATGTTCTTGAAATATCGCTCGGAAATAATAGTATTTCACACAGACAGAATGTATAAACTTACGACCTTGAACTTTGACCTTTTGACCTCAAAATCAATAGGGGTCTTCATTAGGCCACAGGGAGTTTTTGTATAAAATTTCATTGCAATAGCTCAAATGGTTCTAGAGATATCGTGTGGAAACGAAAGTGTTTTAACAGACAGAATTTGCTTATTTATGACCTTGACCTTTGACCTTTTGACCTCAAAATCAATAGGGGTCTTCTTTAGTCCACAGGGAGTTGTTATGCTAAATTTCATTGCAAAAGCTCAAAGGGTTCTCGAGATATCGTGTGGAAACGAAAGCGTTACAGACAGACAGAAAGACGGACGGACGGACGGACAAACCCAAATTTAAAATCCCCCACTTTTCAAGCGGGGGACAAAAACAGGTTAGATTAATTTTCATTGTTAGCATAACAAAACAAAAAAAAAATATGTAAATGTTTTATTAAATGAGAACAATATTTGTTTAATCTAACTAGACTACTGTTTAACATGGTTTCTGATGAAGAGCAGTCAAATATATCATCCAAACATGAGGCTAGGCAGCAGAGGTATGTGATATTGAAATAACTCTAATTCATATTGATGTCTTCGGGAGTGATTTAAAATTTCTGTATATAACTTTGATGTTTCAGCATCTCTGCTATATTAATCAATTTTGAAATCTCTCCGCCTCCTGCACTACAGTATCGATGAAAATATTGAGATTTTAATATACATTGTACAATTTAAAAGTTATGGATTTTCTGTCTTGATAATTATGCCAAAATTAATCAAGTCAACCATCTTTCTTTTGATGCTGCAATTTGAGTTCTGGCCCGGGATCATGAAACA